GGAAAAGTTTTAATTCGTGCTGAGGTAGTGTTGACTCTTTCTTCTCAGAAAAATCCCAAACAGACATAAGACTGCAGTACTTATTAATATGTTTTAATTTATTCCAGTTTCCATTATTAATTAATAATAAAAACTTAATAAAAATTCAAATTAAAACTTTTATTGAATTTATATTCAATTTTTTTTTTGTGAAATTACTCCACGAGTTTGTTATAATTATCAATACGAAGATCGAACACTCAGAAAAAATTCCTTCGGTCCGGCCGGATTCGAACCGACGTCTTCTAGCATACCGTGGCAGACGCCATACCAACTAAACGACGGAACGAACCAGCGGACCTCGCGAATTTTTCTATGTGCTTGCGTCGTAACTTTGTATTTGGTTTTTCAACGACTTTTTAGCCGTAGCGCCGTCTATGAGAAATCTATGATATTTCGTCACCCATTTACATACCTTTACAGCTACCAGCCCCGGCTAGAGATGTCGCTATTCATTGTATTTAAATTTTATTGAATTGATATTCAATAATTTTTTTGGGAAATTACTCCACTAGCTTGTTATAATTATTAATGCACAGATCTAACACTCAAAAAAAGTTTTATAGATTCGAACCGACGTCTTCTAGCATACCGTGTCAAACGCCGTACCAACTAAACCACGGAACGAACCACAAAAAATAATTGAATATCAATTCAATAATAATTTAAATACAATGAATAGCGACATCTCTAGCCGGGGCTGGTAGCTGTAAAGGTATGTAACTGGGTGACGAAATAGCATATATTTCTCATAGATGGCGCTACGGCTAAAAAGTCGTTGAAAAACCAAATACAAAGATACGACGCAAGCACATAGAAAAATTCGTGAGGTCCGCTTGTTCGTTTGTCAAACATCTGTTTGTTTGAAAAAACAAATAAATATACGCAATTTAAATTCGGAAAAATAGTGTCATTTCCTATGTGTAACAATCGCGAAAACCTAAGAACTCGATAGAATCGACTCGTTAAGTGTACACTTCAACTTCTTTCAATAACAAATAAGTTTTTTTTATAATATCAAGTGATGGGACTAGCAAGTCGTTTGCCTGGTGGTAAGCTGCACACTTTGTAGAACAGTTGTAGTTGTTTCTCAATACAACTAAAACGCAACTATGTGATAAAATATTTTTTTAGTAAATATTTTTTTGTAGTTGAAAAACCGTCTAAGCGTTTTAGTAACGAAGTGGGATCTGACAATTGCATACAATGCTCACGATCACCTTGAATAGAAACCTTACAATGTTAAAGGCTTACTTATTAATCTTTTTACTTTAACTAGATGGTATTGTCATGAGAACTATTCAGAATTATACACGGAATTCACTAATTGGGTCATTGCAAATGTTTCATAGTAAAACAATATGATACCTAAATAATGCACCTGTGTAAGATTTTTTTTATTACTTGAAAAACTACACTTTTTTGCATTCGTTTGTAAAATAAAATAAGCCTTTATTACTACTAGTGTTAGTTGACATTAACAATTATTACTAGTTACATTTTCATGTTATTAGCTACATTTATATACTATAAGTTACTTTTACATATCAGACGTTACACTATTATCTACATTTACCTTATTAGCTAGCAACAGTAGTAGTCACCTCCTCGGCGTAGGCCTCCCCTGTTGTCATCCATAACTCCCTATCCCTTGCTTTCGTCATCCATTTTGGTCCTGCTTTCTCTATAAAGCTGTCTTCCCATCTTTTCCTCGGCCGACTTTTACGTCTTGTTTCGTTTCTTGGTATCCAATCAGTCACTCTCTTTTTTGAATTGTATACGTTTAACAGAGTTCCATTTTTAACCGACTTCAAAAAGGAGGTTCTCAATTTGACTGCATTTTTTTGTGTATGTTACGTGCTTACATTGACATTTGTGAACTGATTACGATGATTCTTTTTTTTTATTTTAAAGGGGCTACCTCAATAGTGGTCCCATTCAAATTGGAAGAATAATCCACCTCTAAAGGGTCAAATTAACGGTTACCATGCCCGTATGCCACACAGAGGTCCCAGGTTCGATTCTCGGGCCGAGAGAAATAGTTGTATGGCCTACATTTATTTCTCTCGTGAGTTTGGGTGTAATTTGTGGTTGTCTATGTGTGTGTCCATGGCACCCGCGACACAGAGTTTCCCTAGGGGCCATGTTGAGTGTGTGCGTTATTAAAAAAAAAGACGTCTCACTGCCAGATACGGGTCTCCTCACAGGCAAGGGTTTAGGTCATAGTCCGCCACGCTGGTCCAATGCGTGTTGGGGACTTCACAGTTTTTCCGAGGGTTGTGAACCTTCATCGACGTGCAGGTTTCACCACGATGTTTTCATTCACCGGAAAGCTCATAATATATTTCAATTTAAATTTCGCACATAAATTCCGAGAAATTTAGAGGTGCGAGACTGGATTCGAACCTACGACCTTCTGCTTGAGAGGCAGTAGGTCGAACCATTAGGCTACCACGGCTTCATTATTTTTTTTATTCAATTAAAATGAATCCGGTTTATTAGATTTCACCCACGTTAACCGTTTTCAAAACCAGAACGCAGTAACGCTCGCATTACTGCTTGTCGACAGCAATAGGTGGGATGGCAATCCTTCCCTGGACAATCTCTTTCACGAAGAGATCTACTGCTACCAAAATGTCAAAAATTTTTGGGGCATGTTAAAAATGTGTGTACAATTTTTTATTTAAAAAAAACTCTTTTTCACGTCGTGCGCCTGGTGGTAAGCTGCACGCCTGTACATAACAGTTACAGTGCCGCTCAGAGTTTTAAGGCGCAAAGATCTAGGGGGCACTGCCACTGCGCCTGACACCCTGAGACATAAGTTGACAAGTCCTATATGCCTGTAATTTCACCAACAGCCAGTGGCACTGTAATCTGTTATAGGCCAACGATCTGTACGTCACGTCAGTTAATACTGCAAAAAGAATGCAAACAAGTTGATCGATCTGTAAATGAGTTGACAAACTTCCAATATTAAACTGGCAGCTATTATTAAAAAGTTCACATTGGCAAGGTCAGAGTAGAACCGGTTCTAAGGCAATGACCTCTTTCTCTAGTCAAGATAACATTTGCATAACATCGGTTACCTGCACCTGGTGCGACACGAAAATTTGGTTGAAATTAGACGACTTCGGCATCCCAATGTTTTGCGACTCTTGGTAGGACCAATTTGGGGAACGAACTTTTCTGAATTGGTTTTGTTTTGGGTGTTTCGGGTAGTTGCCCCTGAAGTAAACATAGTCGCAATTGGTGCGTGATTAAAATCCATAGCGACGTCGTCCGTCACCCTAAGACACGTTGACAAGTCCCATCAGCCTCTAATTTCATCAACACCCTTAGAGCATTTGCGCACTACTTTCGATTCGTATCCGTTGCGAATCCGAGAAACGGCGGTCTACCATTGTTGGTCACATTAGGTGAGATTGTGGCCAAGCGCGTGTCTTTTTATCCTGAAAAATAATTTGCCCATATTCCCAAATTCTATTATAAACAAGGCATTTGCATTCCTCCGGCTGGTTTGGTCAGAATGTCATTGTGTACTTATTCAAATTGTGTAATTGTTAGTATTTATTTGGTGTGTGTTCAAACCTCAAAAAATCCATTTTCCTAAATTGACTTATTTTCTAAGTGTCCTTGTTTTTAAATGTCGGAAAAAAAACCGTGAAATTGGCGTACAGTCAGTGAAACTTGATTTTATTAACTTGACAACAATATAAAATTCTCTTCTCGAAAGAAAAAAAAAACTTGTCTAGTGACGGGACGAACAAGTCGTGCGCCTGATGGTAAGCTAGACGCCTGTCTATAACAGTTGCAGCGTCACTCAGAGCTTTAAATCGCAAAGATTTGAGGGGCACTGCCACTGCGCCTGTCACCCTGATACATAAGTTGACAAGTCGTATGTGCCTGCACTCTTCCAAACCAGACTACAGATATTATTGCTTGGCGGCAGAAATAGGTAAGCTTTACTGCTACAAGTCTTTGCGAATATTATGCTATTAGAAATTCGATATTTAGCTTAATGCATTCTCTTTTTAGTAGTAGAAATAAATAGTTTAGTAACAGTAGAGTTTAGTACCGACATCTTACCTATTTTTGCTGCCAAAAAGTCACGTGAACATTAGTGTGTTCCGGTTCCGAAGCGTAAGGGTGCTAGTGAAATTACAGGCACATGGGACTTGTCAACTTATATCTGAGGGTGTCGGGCGCAGTGCCAGTGCCCCTCAGACCTTTGTGATTTAAAGCTCTGATTGGCACTGTGAATGTTCGGGACAAGCGTGTCGCTTACCACCAGTCACACGACTTGTTCGTGCCGTCATTTAGTATTATAAAAACAAATATTCTGTTTGTAATTCATTCAACTATTTTTTTTGAGGTATTGGCCCCATTGACTTACAAATAAATGGACGACGGGTCTAATACAAAAACCACGAAAAAAATGTCCCAAGTCAACCTAATTAAACGTAGTGACATGTAAAGGAATATGAAAAAGCTAAAACGTTGAATTTAAATTATAATGTCATCGCAGTAATGTCTAATTTTGCTTGCTTCGCTGTCAGTCGAACAAACGAAGACTAAAGCGTGAATGACGCTCTGTATACGATTTTAACGCCCTATAAGTTCGGACACTTTTTAGCGGGGACCCGACGTCCATATAATTGTAAGTCAATGATTGGCCCCTAAAGTTTTCTTTTCTTTGAAAAAGTCAATTACGCCCATTTTGCTTACTAAATAAGATTAAAAGAAACCTCTTACAGGGGGTTGTAGATCTCGTTCCACTGATTAACTGATTTAGCTAAAATGTAGACTACTTTAGTTATGATAAGGGCGTCAGTATTCTTCTCCCCCTTTATTCAGACATTGTTCTATCTAAAAATATTATTGAAACTTCTACTCGCGATTGTTAGGACAATGAACGTGTTGTTTATTAGGTTGGTAATAATATTCCTTATTGTTCTTTGCAGCATACCGACGGCGAGATGTTTACAGCTGTTAATGAGTTTTTAGATGACCTACGGTGAGTTGTATATGTGGAAAATTAGCTGGGAGACCATCTTAACTACTAATAACTAACATTACTCACAAAATGGCGTCTATTTGGGCATCTGCTTCTCAAAACCATAGTGAAAAAAGGAAAAAAAGGCATATAAAGTCATAACACATAGAAAAACTCGTGAGGTCCGCTGGTTCGTTCCGTGACTTAGTTGGCATAGCGTCTGACACGGTTTGCTAAAAGAACCAACGTTCGAATTCGGCCCGATTGAGGGATATTTTCTGTGTTTGATCTTTGTTATTAATAATTGTAAGGAAAAAATAATTAATTTTGAATATTTGTCTTTTTTGAAGATGCAGTAAAATCTAAGTTCATGGCGCAAAAGTGTTGCCCGCTTGCAAGCAGCTAGTGATTACAGTCGATAAAACATTCTGTCGATAGAATGTTGACTATGCTTATGCAATAAGTAGCTGAACTGGTTTTTTTAAAATGTTACAACTCCTGGGCACACACACTACATACACTGCATTTAGATCTGTCTGTTAAAAAAAAACAAAAACTAGACATATTTTTTTAAGTTTTTAATTTGAATCCAACAGATAATCAAATCCGCCTGTACTTTTTCAAATATATATGAATAAAAATGGGTTTCGATATTAGTAGGTCAGCTGTCAAAATAAGAATAAAAAAGGTAATAATGCAATTAGTAATCTCTGAACGTCGTAACATTCACAGTTCAGATATTTTTGGCAAAATTTTATCTTCTTTGACAATCTATCGATAAAACTATCGATAGCAACTACAGGACTATATAAAATTTTATAACTGGCAACCCTGCACATATAATTTTACTCCGTTTTCAAAAAAACAGACAATACTAACAAATCGGCAAAATCATACTTTAATTTACGTCATCATAAAATAAAGTCATGTCATCGTTGCTAACTGCTTGAAAATGGCGGGTAAATTAAATGCAAATAACCTAACGTAACCTAAAAAAAGAGTATCAAATAATATTATTGAGATATTTTTTACGAAATATCTCCACTAGTTTTTATTATGATTATTATTACAAAGGTCGAACACAGAAAAACTTTTTCGACCTAATGGGACTAGAACCCGCGACCATACTGCACAGTAGTGCTGCTCTTACCAACTGAGCTACGAGTCAATTTATCCAGCTGTCGAAATTCTCCTATGTGTTTTTGTTGCAGTAAAGAAGGTTCTAAAATCTCTCACAAGATCTCACTAGTAGTTCAGAATGCTGAAAAATCAAGTACAAAGATCTTTAACAAAAACGCACAGGAAAATCTCGACAACTGGATAACTTGACCCGTAGCTCAGTTGGTAAGAGCAATACTACGGTGCAGTAGGGTCGTGGGCTCAAGTACCGTCACGTCAAAAAGGTTTTACCTCTATGTCCGATCTTTGTATCAATAATTATAGTATCTAATAATATAAGATAATTATGCTCATTATTGTCGATTTCTAACATCGAGTATATAACCAGAAGTAGAGACGAAATAAGGGCCATCGATCTCTGACAACTCATCAGGCAAATGGGCCTTATATTACTTTTAAATATCAACACTCGTTTGCGCTGAAATCACAAATTAGAAAGTTGAAACAGTACAGCGCCAACAACTGACCTGTGTGTACGTCTCCGTATATTCCAAAAATATTCTGTATTTATTGTAATAAAAATAATATCTCTAACTATGGGGGGCTGTTCCGTACGGTGGTGTGGGCAAACAGCCAGTCATCTATTTACAAAACAAACGAAATCACATTTGATGACACCCGTCCATTGTTTCGAATTCGGGCTTTCCAATCGAAGCGCAGTTGTCACCGTAATGGTTTGGCAGAGTAGTTTTCGTACAAATTAAATGACATTTCGTCTCTATTTCTGGTTATACACTCGCTGATATACGATAATATAAAATGCGTCAATTATCAAGCGATATTGGTTTTGCTTCCATATAAAAGCGTAGTCGTAATACGATAAAACCCATACAACTGTTTATTTACATCTATAGGGATTTATTTATTTATTTATTTATTTTTTATTTATTTGTTTATTTGCAAACTTTACAGCTTTTTAATTTTCGTTTACAATCATAATAATATACGTATATAGCCAATAACAAAGTTTGTCATATTACATTTTAATTATAGCGTTACTTTATCTAGCGTTAATCTATAGCCTAATCGAAAAACAAACATGTTGAAAATTTACATTAAGTTCTTAAATTAATGGTAATCTACATATTATTAAATTATTACATACAAATATAACATTATTATTATATAAATTATAAAGGTGTAAGTGTAAGTATGTTTTAGTGTTGTGTGTGTTTGTGTGTGTGTGTGTGTGTGTGTGTCTGTGCTCTGTTTGTTTGATAATTATTGCCTTCTAAACTGGGGGTGATCCTTCAATATGTTTAGAAATTGAGTGCGGTTTAAATGGAAGATGTCCACGTCTCTAAATCTATCCTCATAAGTGCGCACTATTCTTTGCAAAACAGAGTGTTTTGCGTAATTCGAACGGGCTAAGGTCGTACACAAGGAGTGCATATGCCTCGTGCGTTTTGGACAGGCACACAGACCAATGCAAGCCGTTAATTCAGGACAATCCAATACGGAGTTAACCACGTCATATAGAAACTTCATGTCAGACAACAGACGTCTAACTTCGAGAGAATCTAGCTGATAGAAGTTAAGTCTGTCGAAGTAACCATCTTCCCTTTTGAGGCGGTAGTGCAATCTACGTGTGAAACAACGCTGCACGGACTCTAACTGGGCTATATGAGTCACATAAGACGGAGACCATATAGGGGCTGCGTACTCCATCACGCTCCTGACATAAGCAAAATACAGCTTTTTTAAAGATTCAATTCTTCGAAAAGATTTAGCACTTCTATGAAGAAATCCTAGCATTCTGTAAGATTTCTGAGCAATGAAGTCGAAATGCGATGTATACAAAAGCTTATAATCTAGTATTACACCCAGATCGCGGACGAGTTCGACTCTAGGAATACAGGTATCATTGAGATGGTATTTGTGAGACAGAAAAATACGCTTCCGGGTGAACGTGATAACTTGGCATTTTTTGACATTCAGATCAAGACGATTCAGTCTACAATAGTCCGTTAATCTGTCGAGGTCCGCCTGAAGCCTTTCGCAATCAGCTGCACAACCAATTGGCATAAAGATTTTATTGTCGTCGGCATACATTAAAACATTTGAATACTTAAAACATGTCTCAATGTCGTACAAGTATATGTTGAAAAGTAAAGGACCTAAATGAGACCCCTGCGGTACGCCCGATGGGACGGATTCCATATTCGATTTGAAAGCGCCAATCCTAACAGCCTGCGATCGATTCCGTATATAAGACTCAAGCCACCTCAGCAAATCCCCGTGCACACCGATATTATTTAGTTTAGATATTAAAATGTCATGATCGATGCGATCAAAACATTTTGAATAGTCGGTGTACACAGTGTCGACCTGGCCACCTCTGTCCATGTGCTGAGTAATAAAATTTGTGAAAACAGCAAGATTAGATACAGTCGATCTTCTGCGCATGAAACCGTGTTGAGAAATTGGAATATAGACTGCGGCCACCGGATATAATTGGTCATGAACGATTGACTCGAAAACCTTACCAAAAACTGACAATATCGACACGGGTCTATAATTCTCGACGTTCTGTCTTGAGCCGCTTTTATGAATCGGAGTGATGTAAGCCTCCTTCCATATGGTGGGGTAAACTCCCTCGCTCATTGACCGCCGAAAAATTGATGTCAGAGGAGTTGCAAGCTCCTTCGCACACTGTTTCGCAAAAAATGAAGGAATACCATCACTCCCAGCACCCTTGTTACGATCCAGTTTACGTAAATATTTGAAAACTAAATCTTGTGTAATTTGAATAGAGTTGATTGTATTAATTAAATTAGATGGAGCCATAGCGAGGGAAGGACGATGAGTAGTGTTAGAGCCTCTATAAACGGAAAAAAAATATTCTAAAAAGGCATTACATATATCAGAGCCTCCACATGTCACGCGATCACCATGGGTCACATGAACGGGAATGCCCTTGTCCCTACGCAATGACCTAGTATATGACCAAAAGTGCTTTGGGTTGGTAGTAATTGCCGTTTCACAGCCATCGATATAACGTATCCAACACTCCTGTTGAACTGTCTTCTGACGTTGCCTGAGCAAGGAGAAAGCATCATAGTCCAGTTTGTTTCCGTATTTCTTCCATGCCTTATGGTACTTGGATTTTTCTTTAATAATATTAATTAGAGGCTTAGAAAACCATATCGGATAACCACAACCGTCGCTTAAGAAGCTAGGTACCTCCTCCTTAATAACTCTCCGCAGCTCTGTTAAAAAGGATAAGACAGTATCATCTATTCCATCGCTATTGAGTTTGTTGGCCCAATCTACGGTAGCCAACCGACTCCGTATAACGTCATAATTAGCCCTCTTAAATTTATAAACTCTTATTTTTGGGTCCCTTAACGTTTTATATAAAATTATATTTGGCATTTCCAAGTCGATAGCTGGATGATGAGGCATGTCCTCACGAGTTAAGGGGTGAGTACAGCGGGACGTCGCTACCTCCAGAGTACCAAAAACAAGGTCGAGATAACGACTGTTGCCGTTTATTACGGTATTATACTGTTCTAAATTAAAACTGGAGAGGGTTTGCAACAAATCACGCTGGTACTCATTAGTTACATTGAGTGGAAAAAGAGGTGGCAGATTACTGGAGCCAACATGCCATTCTACATATGGAAAATTAAAATCCCCCATCAAAAGATAATCAGCATTACTGTTTTTATCCATAAATTCTCTCAAGAAATCAGTCAAGTTAGCCACTTGTGCGTCGTGAGAAGCACCGGAACCGGGGAGGTAAACGCAGATGATATGTAGGTCGCGCGCCGCTCGCATTACGTGAGCACGTATTATAATATGAACCATATCGTACGGGGCATCAATAGGCGCAGCGAGAG